GTGGTGCCACCAGAGCCCCTGGTGCTCACAGGCTGGGAAGGCTCAGAAGAGAGGAGCCCGATTCCAGGTGATGTGGGTTAAGTAGGAAAATGGTGAGGAATAAAATCCCAACGTTCACTAACAAAAGCTCAAAATGCTACACTTGGGGGAAAAAGCAAATCAAATGCACTGACTGACCTGGGGAGGTCCCTCCCAGCCTCCCTGATCCTCTCACTTTACACAGTGTGGTACCAGAAAGTGAACACAAATGCCTCAGCAAGGCCAGAGTTCCTGGTTTTCATACACCTTCCTGCTCCACTGAAATCCCTGCCAGAGGCCCCAGAGGTGCCAAGGGTCCCAGCTCCTCTGCCCCACAGCAGGGCCCAGCATCCCCAGGGCTGCAGAGCAGCTTCTGGCTAACTGAAATGTTGCTCTTCTGAAATGAATATAAAGCCTGAGAATCATTTCAGAGCAGAGATCTATGGCAGGAATCATGTTTTCCATTTGCACGTGGACACCTCGGGGTGATTGCCATCATGGGAGCACAACAGTGACACAAACCACAGCTACAGTGTGTGCTGGTTCTCATGAAAACCAAAACTTGCTGATGTTCTGATAACCCTTTACTTTTACTAAGGCTCTAAAAACATGTCATTTGCTGGGAAGGAGACAGACTCCATGAAACATGACTCCAGACAAACCTCTGACTTGCTGGAACTGTGGGCTCTTTATGGAGGTTTCTGTGTGTGTTTGGGTCAAACACACACTCTTGGAGCCAGTTACCATCATCTATCAACAGGTCTTCACACTGCTTTTCAGGCCTGGCTTCTGCCATCACCTGCAGAATCTTTGCTAGATAATATCATCACTAAATACAACCTTTTTATTATTATTAAAGGGCCTTGGTAAATATTGTCATCTCTCTAAGTATATTTTTATATTTTAGTTGTTTCTCTGAAAACTCAGTTTTACTTTTTAACTCAAAATCCAAACTGGGAAGCCTGAGTCCTTAAAGTTATTGGTTGTTTTTTTAAGGCTGCACGAGAAAGGATGGGAACCTGAATCTGTAACTGTGGCCTCAGCTCTGCCAGGGATTAGTCCTGAAATCCTTTGGGAGGTCACAGCCACTCCCTGACGTGGAATGGGAAAAGTAATTCCTCCCTGATTTACTGGTGTGCTGTGGGATTGAAGCCACCCAAGTTCCTGTAGGAGCTGCAGGACTGAGGGGCAGCAGCAGAGGCTGGAACTTCCCACCCAAGTGCTCAGGGCTGCAGCCCTGCTACTGGGAAAAGGCAGAAAATCTGGTTTGATCAATTTCACCTCCAGCCTCTTCCCAGAGAGCTCAGTCCCTCTCACTGCCTCCCACACTGATCTCCCCATCACCCCTGGGACACAGGCCCGTTCCCACACTCAGATCCAGGCCTCTCAAACTGCTGCAGATTCTACCCTGTTCTGACAGCAGCTCTTTTTCTAAGGAAGAGAAAGGATCAAACCAACTGAGACACAGGAACAAGTGTTGTCAGCAACCAGGGGTGTCCACTCAGGCAATAAAACAAGCCACATAACAGCATTAATGCAGCAATAATTCAGCTTACTGAGCATCCCCTGCAGAAATGCTGTGCAGGAGGCATTTCAGAGCTTGTGTTCAAAGCCAAGTAAAGAAGTGATTAAAATAAAACCATTCTTTAACTAGTTGCCTGAGGGATGCCTTAAACTAGACCCTTTTATAAGATGTCCCAGCCTCTCAGGTAACTGAGAATGTGTGTAGCAAAAGCTGCTCTCAGGCTGCAGCAGAGCCCGGAGCCCCAGCACTCACCAGCCTCACACAGCCCAGGGCCCTGCAGGCAGGTCCTGCACCGCTCCTTGTGCTCCTCCAGAGAGCTCCTCTGCTTGTAGCTCCTTCCACAGAACTCACACTTGTATGGCTTCTCCACTGGGAACAGAAGAGCAGGGGATAAAACAACCAGCGATGCCCAACACGCTGCTCAGAGGCAGCTGCAGGTGCTCAGCTCACAGGATGCTTCACGTTTCTGGTAGGTTTTTGGAGCACTGGGATCATGCCCAAAGGGAGGTTAGGGGAGGGTGGAGCCCCCCAGACACCAGAGGACTCACAAGTGGGCAGTGCTTCCCAGAGCTGGCAGTGCCCTTGGCCCGGGGCTGCAGCTGCCCCAGCTGCCCAGCCCAGCTCCTGCCTGCACAGAATTGCTCAAGGATTTCATCAAACCCATGAAATTGCACCAAACCAAAACCATATGTAAGGTTCCTTCATTTCCAAAGGTGTTTATTGCAAAGCAAATTCATGTGAGCTAAAGCAAACTGGTCTGTAACTCAGACCCCCAGGCAGCCCCTCCTGGTACCTCCCACATGGGACTGGACTCACTGAATTATCTCATTCCTGTTTGTGAACAGGCACAAAATCACCCCCAAGCAGCACAAACAGCACCAGCCACGCACTGCACAGGCTGCAGAAGGACCCTCCTCCCCACTGCCAATGCAACTATTCACTCATCTACCTGACCCACCCAAAGAGGTTTCCTTTACACTGCTCAACAACCCGGGTCTTGCAAAGCTCAGTCCCAACCTCCCCGCCCTGTGTGAAGCACCACGAGTGCAGCCCTGGGCTGGAGGGACCAGACACCCCACTGTGCTGGGGTTGACTCAGTCAGAATCTCATGTCAGATAATCACATTTTTCACTTTGATTCTTTGAGAGCCTGAACTTGCTTTTTACTGTGAGGTGCAGTGCAGAGGTCACATCTACCATTCAGAATCAGTGCCTTCCTTCTAGGCCCTGCACCAGGCAGGGGATGCACAAACCAGAGAGGAAGGACAACTTGGCTCTTGCAGAACTGGGGGAACTCGGATCCATCCATTTGCACCAGGCTTGTTATCCAGGTCACCCCAGCTCTGTGCCTCCATTTCTCCCATCTGTAAAATGGCTGGAACCCCCTACCAGGCCTGAGAAAACCCAGGGGTGCTTGTTGAGCACGTTAAGACCTGCAGATGAAGGGCGCGAGGCTGCAGCAAAGTGTGGGGGTCACGCTTTCCTGGACTGTGCTCCCAGAGCCACCCCAGCTCAGCCAGGCCCTGGGGGGGTGTCTCCCCATTCTCACTGCCTGGCAGAGCTGCCCCCATGGTCTGAAGCCCCCAAGGAGCCTTTTTGCAGCAGCAGGTTTGCAGGGTGGGTGTCCTGGGGCAGAACCTCTCCCTGTGCTAGGGGCAGAGCTGAGTCCCCAGCTGGTTCCAGCAGCAGAGCAGGCAGGACAAGTGGTCACTGCAGCCTGGGGACTCCTCAGAACCAGCTGAGCAACCTTGGCTGTTTTCCACCTTCAGTGTCCTAGTGACCCACATCTAACACACACCCAGTGCCTCTGAAGCCACTTACCAGAGTGTGTCCTCAGGTGCCCCGTCAGCGCGTCCCTCCTCTGGCAGGCGTAGCTGCACAGGTGGCACTTGAAGGGCTTTTCCCCCGTGTGCAGCTTAATGTGGCGGAGGAGGTTTCCCTTCTGGGTGAAGGAAGCTCCACACTGGTTACACTGGAACGGCCGTTCACCTGAAAATGACACAGAAAAGGACATTTCATGGTTACGTGGGGCCCTGCTCCCCTCAAACCCTCCTCTCGGGAAGAATCAGACCCCGGATCAATTCCCTGCTGCAGAAAGACCTGCAGCAGGGTCACACAGCTCTGCTGTCACAGCTGCTTGTGACACGTGTAGGACTGTGGGAAACACTGCCCAGGCTTCCCATGGAGATCAGGGCTCTGGAGGAGGCTGATTCCACCAGGCAGGCAGTTTTTAGAAGAACCACCCAACAGTCTCTTTCTCTCACTGCAGGTCAGACCCCATCGTGCTGCACTTTGGCAACAAACCAAAGGGAAACACATACAGGCTGGTCATGGCAGCACAAAACCAATCTGACTTGTGGCTGGAGCTCTTGGGTGACATGTTGCCTTTCATCCCAAACCCTTAAAATGCCTCACAAACAAGCTTCTACTAACATTCAGTCCTGATGAGAACAAAGGTGGGTAAAGTGAGGCACAGAAAAGTGAGCAACTTGCCAGAGGTCACCTGTGGGGTGAAGGACAAGGAAATCCTGGGGTTTTGGATCCTTTTTTACACCCCACAGCCCAGGTCACACATTGTTGCCCTTATTCAGCTCCCACAAGAATAACAGAGACATTTACCAGTGTGGCTGCGTTTGTGAACCATCAGGACATTGAGGCTGATGCAGGCCAGTCCACAGATGTCACAGTTCATTTTCCCACTGGCCGGCCTGGTGGTGTCATAGGAACCAGAATGCCTTTCCAGTTTGATGCTTTCATACTCATATTCTCTGGGATACACGTAAGACATTTCGGATTCTTCTGGGTTCTCCATCGGCTCTGAGCTCAGAGCAGCCTCTTCTCTTTCACCATATTCTCCTTTCACTTTAATCACATCATCTGCAGGCAAAACAAAGCCCAGAAGTGAAACGAGGCTCATTTCGGGCACAACAAAGTGTCTCAGAAAACAAACTCACCCAAAAAATCACATCAAATGAGCTTATCCATCTTCCTAAAAGCTTTACTCAAACACACAAAGGTGAAGAAATGCAGCTGAGATGTGAATCTTCACAGGTCATGTACTTTTAATGATACTCACAGTGAGATAACTTCTAAACTACTGATCTGGCTGTTAATTACCACTAATGGGTAACTTCCTTCCATATATTAGACAAGTCTAACATAGCACAAACTTCTCCTGCAAATACAGGGTCCAAAAGAAAATACTTATTCCCACATCTCACAATTAGCCTGTAGAAATGAGTGTCCCAGGCTGTGCCTGTGAATTCAAAACACAGCAAGACACAATTTCAACAGGATAAAATGGATCCTTTGATCTTCCTGAGCAACCTCTGGTGCTTCAAACATGCCCATGAGACTTGTTTAATCCAGAAAAAGACTTCCAAGTGCTCCTGTGTTACAGATTCTCATCAGATAATTCTAATCAGTGATCTTAATTTTCACTTGCAAATTGCAGTTTTTATCCAAAGTTGTCAAATGGGTGAGAAACACCCAACAACCTTGGCATAAGGTCACCCTGTGGGTAGGACCAGCTGGGTAAGGACTTCCTGAAACTGCATCCTAGAAGTGTTACAAGATTTGTCCAGAGACATTTTGTGAGTGTGTGGCAAAGAACCTGAGGACTCCTGAGGTTGAGCATCAGGTTCCTGGCACTGCAGCCTCGTCCAGGGCAAACCCAAGATGCTGCCTTCACCAGATGCCACTTCCTGAGAGGGGGAGAAGGTACCAACAGTGATCACTTGATGCCAGTAAAGCTGCCATGTAAAAATAGAAGTGAATTGGTCACACTCTAAAACCAGCTGATGATTCCTAACTTATGTTGCTGAATTTCCTTCCTACTGTTAACTCCAGCATTACCAGCACTTGCATGAAAACCCTTCCCAACTGACAGGACATCTTTGTCCTGCCTCAAGCCAGCTTCTCCCCCCAGAGCAGAGCCAGGCTGTGCTCAAACTGGAGTCCTGCCTGAAGCCACCAAGTGAAGAAAAGCATCAAGAGATAAACTACAGAGTTTCCTGTTTGAAAGTATTATTCTCATGGCCACCTGCTCCTCCTCAAACTGAGGGTTAGACTGTTAAATATGACACTTCATTACTTGTCCTTTCTCCAAAGCAGAGAACCTGGACTGCTGAACATATATGAGCTCTGGTTCTGAGTAATAAACCACATCAAGTGCCGAGAACAAACAGTGGGTGACAGCCAGAATGAGGTGGCAACATGAAAGCAGCACTGAAAAATAAAGATCTGGCAACCAACACTTTCATGGAGTTGAAATTTTCAACTACATTTTAGAGATAAAAATCACTCCTCTCTCCCAAACACTGGCACTGAGCTCTGCCAGGCTGCCTGGCCTCAGGCTGAAGGGAGGTGGGAGCAGCAGGTGGGTGATAATTCCTTCATCCCCTGCAAGAATCCACACTAGAGTGGAAAACCCCTGTTGGTGCTCACTCTCCCTAGATGATACCCGTAGAAGGATGGGGGGGTTTCCCCATATTGTGTGTTTTTATCCTCCTATCCTGGACATTTCTTAAGAGTTTGATTCTGGGACTGACTGTCCTGCTCCCAGCAGAGCTCCCCCAGGTTGGGCTGGTTGCTCAGGGAGGTCTGGATTCACCTACAAATGGGCCATTTGTAAGGACTTCTCCTTCCACTGGAACGGGGCTTCCTCTGCAGGCACCTCCTGCTGCCAACCTCACCCCTGGGGGTGTGAGGGTGAGACCAGGACTCCTCCCAGACTCGTTGGTGCTTCCGTTTCCATCACTTGAGGGAAAAATGATTCCCAGGTGCTGAAAGCAGCTTCCAGCAGAACCTCTTCCCTCAAAAACAAAATTGAAAAAAGAGGATTTTTGGTGGGCTGGTTGTTTTCTTCCCTCTCAAAGGGAAGGCAGTTCCAAAATAATTTGCTACATCCTGCACAGCAGTAAAAGGAAGTGCCCGTTGCAGCTGCACCTTGCTGGTACTTTCAGAAACAATTTCAATTCCCACTTCGCACTCAGCACCTCCCTCACCTTTGGTCTGCACCAAGTGCAGTTGCTCAGCAGAGGAGGACGAGCTGCAGCCTCCAACTCAGAAGGCTCCTCTACCGTTTTCTGCTGTTTCTCACCACAAGTTCCTGGCTCTCAGCTTCTCGCTCCTCTAGTTACGGTAACTTCGAGCTGTGCAGCCATGAAAGCTGCTTGGAGCTGCCCAGGGCCACCCTGGGGCTCCACTGCAGAAAAGAATCCCCTCTGTGCCCCCCACTCTGCCTGCCTGCAGTGCTTGTGCTTCTTGTAGCAGCAGATGATGCTCCTGGGTTGTGATCAAGCCTCTTTCCCAGCACCACTCCCGCTGTCCCACGTCCCACAGCCTGGGTGTTCCAGCTCCCATGTGGGCACCTCACTGGAAAAACTCACCTTCTGATGACTGAGAACAAGAGGCAGCAGAAGCCACCAGGGAAGAAGCTTTTTGTAACCACATAAATATTAGAAGAGCTGGAATCTTTCTGTCCTAACACACCTGTCACTGAGTCTGCTCTGCCCCCCTGGCAGCAGCAGAGAAGCTGCTTTGGTACAAGGCTGAGGAAAACCTGGCTCAGGACAGGTCAGCCTGAAATTACCCAGGTGGTTGCCAAGGTCTGAAGCAACCAAATTCCTTTTTCAGCCCTGACTTCTGTACTGGCATGTGAGGGAACACTGTGGGATCAGGAGAGTGGCAGCTGCATGGAAAGGTTTGTTGTGTCTGTCACTCAAAAATCATCTCAAGGTATTTTCATGAGATGAGGGAGTTTCCAAGTGGCTGCAACTCTGAGTAGAAAAACAAGAGTTAATTGAGGAAAAGCACAATTATTCCTCACAGCACTAACAAAGTTGCTCCAGTTGACAGAAGAGGTGCTGTCATCTCTTCCATGCCCAGGAAAGTAAAGAGGTGGTGAGAGGAAAAAACCATTCAGCAGGTCCAACCCAGGTAACTATTTTTCTCGAGGCAGTTCATGAAGGTAACACTCACTGCAGAAAAAATATGTAGATTTTACACAACAAAGTCCCAGTGTGATGCGTTAAGGCTGATGCACATGGTTTCATTTCCTGGGGAGATGATTACAAGATGAAAGACATACTCCAGAGTAATATTTTTGTTTCACCTGAAACACTGTAAAAACAATGGGTCCTGGAAAAAATCCAAAATAAAGCTGCGGTGGCAACTTCAGCCTGAGTCACCACATGGGCTGAGCTTGTACAAGTCCTGTAAAATGCATGAATAGAGAAAGAAGTCAATGGCAGCAAACAACCAGGACAAGGCTGAGGGTTGTCTCTGCCATCCTCTGCAGGAGGAAGTCTCAGAAGGAAAAACCCCCAGTTGCTATATTTAATCCAAGACCTTGGCATCGAATGCAAAGAAAAGAACCCAAGTTCTGCACTGTTGTTAAGCAAAGTTTACCAGCAGTGGCAGGAAGAGCACAAAGAATAAAAGCCAGAAGCTATTAAAGGCAACGGCACAAAAGGGTGATGTTGTTCAAGTGTTTTACAAGGAGTGGGGTCATAATCGTGAAATCCTCAGCACATGCAAGAAGTCAACTGGATAACAAAGAAACTTAATCATCTTAATGTGGCACTTTAATGATGCTGCTGATTTGCTCTGCCAATTCAGAGATAATGAGCCCCTAATGCTACAGATGTTCAGACAGACTAGAGAAAAAAAGAAAAAAAAAAGATAAGCTTTTCTTGTCTGCCATTTCCTAACTATCCAATTAAACAAATTGTGAAAGCATATAAATAGTTTACCAGGTTTTGACAGCTGTTAATAGGATTCAGATGCTGAAGAACAAGAAGGGAGTGGGAACGTGTGTGTGCTGAAGGATCCCTGTGCCTGCCCGGGCTGCAGGGGCATTGACTGATGATTCATCTCCCTCCTCTCCACAAGCTGCCCTCAGAAACAGCCACCTCCAGCCCAAACCTACACGTTAGAGCTGCTCCCCTCCCAGGATGCCAGACTCTTCACCCAGAGCAGCTGGGAGGAGAGCAGGGCTGGGCAGTGAGGCTGGAAGGCAGGATCCTGCGTGGTAGGAAAACCCCTCTGTGATAGAACCAACACCCTGGGGGGGAAGATCCATCATGAAGGAAAAACACTCCTTCTCCTTACTAAAGGGAGAGAGATTTGCAGTACAACCCATTCCTGGCACGGACTGGGAAAAGTTAACCAATAAACCAATGCTGCACCTGCTTGTTTTCCTGACAAACAGACACACAGTCCCACGTGCCAGGCAGGTGCATCTCAACAACTTGGGGACTAGAAGTGACACAAGAGCAACGTGAGGTTACCCCTCTTTTAGCAGGGGCAACACAGCCAGAGATCAGGAAACTTTTCCTCAGGGCTGCCTTCTCCACCCACCCCCAGAACATCAACTCTAGGGACAAGAAGGGAGTTGGAGCCTTTTGGCCCAACCCAGCTGTGTTTGTTCCCGTGACTCCAGCACTCAGCTCCTTCCTTCCAACAGTTTTTACAAAATCCCTGTTTGCCAACAAAGGAAGCACCAACCCCCCAGCAGCACTATCAGCTTTCAGCTCCACAGCAACAACCAGGACAGAGACAACACATGAGTTCACCCTTGTACGTGTCCCCACAGGCCAGGTGCCCTTTTTGCCCAAAGCAGATTCTTCTGCACTAAAAATCCAAAGTGCTGCATCCAGAGCTCCTGTTCTGCCCTGGAGATCCATAGATTTCACTTCCTTGTCTCACTAGAAATTACTCGGACACATTTTGTTTGATTTAGGTCCCTTCCAACCCAAACCATTTCATGATTCTATTATTTTATTTTGTATTGGTGCCTTCCAGTATTTCCTTTGCACTGTTGTTCTGTAGCTATTTCTGTACAAAACCAAATCGTCTCCTTTGTCTGTAGATAC